TCCCGGGTGGTGTGGTAGAACACCCAGATGCCTAGGAACAGTGCTGTTGGGGAGGGAGGGGATGAAGACCCATGGTGTGACACCCCCAAGGTTTTAGGTTTAACCTTCAAAGGAGTAAGGAGGCAGGGTTCATGAATTGGGGCCTGCACTAGCTGGGAGCGGCTGTTACATGCAAGCAAGTTACTTAACCTCACCAAGCCCCAGTTTCCCGTCTAAATGGGGATAGTTCTGACTTCCTAGTGGGGTTATGAGGATTAAATAAGGAAAAGGTATAAAGCGCTTGGAATAGTGGCCGACACATTCCTGACACCTAGGAAATGGTATACCAGTGCTTGCTGTCACTGTACTCGTAATATGCTGGCCTTGTGTGCCTTTCCCTCCTTCAGCCCAGGCAGGGTGCCACCCAAGCAGGAGAGACTAGAGCCCTGGCTCTGGGGATATGAAGGTTTCTCGCCTGCCTTCTTTCTCTAGGCTTTTGGGGCCCGGCAGAGGCACTGGCCACGAGAGCGGGAGGACTGTGCGACCCAGGGGCAGCAGGCCACACAGCGTGTCCAGCGGGCCCAACAGCTGCTGCAGCTGCAGGTGTTCCAGCTGCAGCAAGAGAAGCGCCAGCTGCAGGATGACTTTGCACAGCTGCTGCAGGAGCGAGAGCAGCTGGAGCGCCGTTGTGCTGCCTTTGAGCGGGAGCAGCGGGAACTCGGGCCACGGCTGGAGGAGACCAAATGGGAGGTGGGCAAGATGAGGCGCTGGGCAAGGGGGTGGTCAGCACTGGACCACACTCTGCCGAGAGTGCCCGGGGTGGCTGCCCCGTAGGGTGTGCCCTTCCTCGTCTTTCTGGGTTGGGTTTTTTCTGGGCCTCTGTGTTGGACCTCATGTGTCTGATCTGGGGCCCACAGAGCTAGTGGCATTGCCTTCCCTATTAGGTGGGTATCGCTAATACCTCCATTTTATGAACGAGAAAACCTGAGTCTCAGAAAGGGCTGGAGTTTTGAATTAAACTAGCAGGGGCTGGGCTGAGATACAAACGCAGGCAGTTTGTTCTGGATGCCTGTTGTTCACCTGGACATGTGGCCATTGTCCTGGACTTTCCCCACTCCAGTCTTGCAGTAACTACCACCCTCTCCAGGCCTCGGCAGTGTTTACAACCCCTTGTCTAAGGATCCCAGTACTGAAGGGAAAAGATGTGGGTCTCTTCTCCCTTTGCTTCTTACCAGAAGTGTAACTATGGATGTCACTAGGCTGTGCCTCTGTGTAAAACAGGGAAGCAGCATCTCCTCTCTTGAATGCCCAGCACGATACCCAGTGCCCAACACTCAGAGAGGCCTCACCATCTTTCCTCACTACCTTTTACCCACAGGTGTGCCAGAAATCCGGTGAGATCTCCCTGCTGAAGCAGCAACTGAAGGAATCTCAGGCAGAGCTGGTACAGAAAGGCAGTGAGCTGGTGGCTCTGCGGGTGGCCCTTCGAGAGGCCCGGGCTGCCTTGCGGGTCAGTGAGGGCCGTGCCAGGGGCTTGCAGGAGGCAGCCCGAGCTCGGGAGGTCGAGCTTGAGGCCTGCTCGCAGGAGCTGCAGCGGTACCGCCAGGAGGCTGAACGGCTCCGGGAGAAGGCTGGGCATCTGGATGCTGAGGCTGCAGGACTCCGGGAGCCCCCTGTGCCCCCAGCCACCACCGACCCTTTCCTCCTGGCAGAGAGTGATGAGGTTAAGGTGCAGCGGGCAGCAGCTGGGGCAGGGGGCAGCCTGCGGGCTCAGGTGGAGCGGCTGCGCCAGGAGCTACAGCGGGAGCAGCGGCGAGGAGACGAGCAGCGGGACAGCTTTGAGGGGGAGCGGCTGGCCTGGCAGGCAGAGAAGGAGCAGGTGATCCGCTACCAGAAGCAGCTGCAACACAACTACATCCAGATGTACCGGCGCAACCGGCAGCTGGAGCAAGAACTGCAGCAGCTCAGCTTGGAGCTGGAGGCCCGTGAGCTTGCTGACTTGGGCCTAGCTGAACCAGCCCCCTGCATCTGTCTGGAGGAGATCACTGCCACTGAAATCTAGGGCTTTGCAAAGGGCACTAGCCACACAACCACCTGGGTCCCAGGATCCACTGAGCACTCCAGGTCTCAGAGCCAAAGGGCCTCTGCCAAGCATTCAGGTGGCCTTGTGACTTGGAGGAGAAAGATCAGACCCCTCGATGTTCCAATTCACTGTCACCCAGAGGCTCCTACCGACCCCACCACTTCACTCCCCAGCTGTCAGTACCACACTGCCAGCCTTGTTTGCCCCAGATTTTTTTCCTGCGCACTCCAGCGGGAAAAGAAAGGGGCTAACCCATCTCCACATTCTACCTGCCTGAAGCCAGAGAGAGCCAGATGGCACCAGCTGCTCCAGATGTGCCTGCCACCGACAGGCCCAGGTGGAAGGACAGGGCTAGGACTGGGGTCTGATCCCCATGTCCCAGCTCTGCAAGCCTCTTCTGGGCTGAGGGGGCTGAAGTCAGACCAAAGGAAGAACTCAGCAGTGTCTTGTTTATTTGTGTTTGTGACCAAGCAGCCTCTCCTAATACCAGGGTTATGGCCCCATTTTCACTTGTATATTTTTCACTGTAAATTTCTTGTACAAATCCAAAGAAAAAATTAAAAAAAATCTTTTTTGTTTTTAAAAAAAAAGTATGCTGGGTAAAGAAATGCAGGGGAACTTGTTTGATATCTGTCTGGGACATTGCCCCCTCTGTTCGCTGGCTACTCACCGACTTCATGGAGTTCCTACAGGGAGAAAGGGTGTGGGACAACTAATCCAGTAGAATCGGGGCCTAGTGGACCACAACATGAAGCTTAGTAAGGTTTGAGGGATTAGAGAAGCTTTCCATCCTGTCATTCTCATTTGCACTGAATGCAGCTAGAGACTGGGGGATGGATGCAGTGACCTTGAGGACTCTTGAGTTTAAGCCACCTCAGGATGGGGAGCCAGGGGCATAAAAAACCTCACACCTGTTACAGGCTTCAGACTTGAGTTTGTCTGTCTCTCACAGCAAAGGGGACCAGAACCAGGGAGTGCGGATGACACAGGTTCCCCACTAGAACCTTGTTCTTGGACATCTAACTTATCCTAAAAGGCCAGAGCTTCTGTGACAGCCCGGAGTGGATCAGAGCCACAAACATGGTGCTCTCTGCAGACAGGCAGAACAGAGGATGCTGGCCTGAGGGTGCAGGAAATCTGGGGGCAGAAATAGCATGGTGCTCTCTGCAGACAGGCAGATAGAACAGAGGATGCTGGCCTGAGGGTGCAGGAAATCTGGGGGCAGAAATAGTCCCTAAGGTCAATGGGGAGGGTCCTGGGGATCCTTAAGAAGAGGGGAGAGTTTGGGGGTACTCTGAGGAGCCTGAAGGGCTGGGTTGAGAGTCTGCTGTAGTTGCCTGGCCTCGGGGGGAGGTAGCTGGGGAGGGATTGTGGTGGTGTCCAGGGGTCCATGGGCAGAGGGACTGTCAGCAGGAAGGCTCTGGTCCTTCAAGGCTAATGGGGCAGAGGATAAGGGCAGCAGCCCAGGCCCAGGGACCCTGACCACAAGCTCCATAGGCTCCCGAGCCTTGTTCCTATATGCTCTGCGGATGGTGTCCACGGCTCGTTGGTGGGTCACCTGCTCTAGGCTTTCTCCATCCACTGCAACCAGCTCAAAGCCAGCCTGGCGTGGAGATGGAACAGTCAGCTTTCACATCATTCCCACCCACTACCCAACCTGAAGGCAGTGGCCTTTCACCTCTACCAGCTAGGGCCCTCCTCCTCTGGGTGCTGGGGATGGACAATAGGACTTTTGTGCCTGGAGCTGTTGGGGGCAGGGTGGGGCACAGACAATGGCCCTTTGTCCTTTGGGACTTGAGGTGGAACAGGATGGGCCATTCTCAGGCCCAGGCTAGCATGAGGGGACAGATTCTTCTCTAGGCTTGCCCATCCTACCAGCCTGACCCCTTTGCCCCCTACCTCCTCCTACGACCTGGTCTGAACATGCCTGGCTAGAAGATGAATGTGAGGCAGCCCTGTCTGTACCCTTCAGCCCTGGGCCTATGGCGGCTTCGTCTCACCTACCTGAAGGGCCCCGCAGAGGCAAGCAGCGCCTCCTGGAAAGATCTTCTCTATCTTCACCATGGGCTGCACCTTGGACTCAATGCCCCCAGAAATGCTGATGCCTGGGGAAAGGTCCGAAGCACAGAGTGGCAACCTTACCCCAAACCTTGAACTCCCAGGAGGAGCGTGGAATCCCACCCCCAAAATCAGCCTTGACTTCTTCCCACCTCTTCATTGAGTCTCAAGTCTCAACCTCCAAACCTAGATTCCCCAGCTACCTACCTCATTTCTCAGGTTCCTTTCCCGGGCCCCAACTTCCCTCAAATCCAGGCATCCACCTTGCTGCATTGAGTCTCAAGTCTCAACTCCAAACCTAGATTCCCCAGCTACCCACCTCATTTCTCAGGTTCCTTTCCCAGGCCCCAACTTCCCTCAAATCCAGGCATCCACCTTGCTTGCCCGGTGCC